ACATGAATCAAATATGTATCTTTATTCATTTACAATAAACTCATAAAGTACATCATTCTGATTGAAGCTAAGGGCATACAAAACTGTCTAACAGGTTAGGCACCCAAGGAGGTCGACCACCCCTCCTCAAAGAGTACGTTAAGCTTTTGGTGGTCTGCCTAAAGATAACATCAATTCTCCCAAAAATCTTACAGGCGAAAATGACGATGATGTCCCTAACGTAAGCCTGCCAAGCGTAGGCAAGGCTAAGCCTGTGTCAGACCGTAACAGCTGTTCACGCCGTTTTCCTTTGGGAGAATGACAAAAAGACGGAAGCTAATGTGGAAATGTATCAGAGCCGCTACCTTGTGGACGTTATGGGAGGAGAGAAATGTTAGTATATTTGAAGAAAAGGAAAGAAGCCTTGCTGAAGTCAAGGACTGCATAATGGCAAGGACAACCTTGTGGTTGAAATCTTCACACTTGTTGGCGGATTACTCCTTTGATGACTTAAGGAGAAATTGGGCAGCACTGGGTTCTACAGACTCCACAAAGAACAGACCACAAGTAGAATATAAACCCCCACTGGAAGGAATGGTAAAATTGAATTTTGATGGTAGCTGCCAAGGTAGCCCAGGGCCATCCGGAATAGGAGGGATTCTGAGAGATAAAGACAGCAACATGATATCTTTATTTTCAGGACCAGTGGGTGTTGGTGATTCTGTAAGGGCCGAGATACTAGTAGTGGTACAAGGTATACACATGGCCAATCAACTTGGAGTGGACAATTTGATAGTAGTTGCTGGCTGACTGTTGGGGCTACAGGGATCTGTTAAAGAAAGTTAAATGGCTGACAAGAAATATGACAGTCAGGGTTCAGTGGATTAGCAGATCAGCAAATGCAATGGCTGGTTCTCTGGCCAAGCAAGGGGTATCAAGGGGAGATCTATTTTTGGGCTACCTTGTAATTGTGTTTCAGGCTTCTGTGTGTTTAGTGCTTATGGTTCAGTCCTTGGGGGAGGTGTCACCTCGTGCCTCCTCCTAGACTGACTGTACTTTCTTTATTTGAATTAATAAAATCACTCTCATTTATAAAAAAAAGAATATAAAAATATTTCATAGTGCCTTGTATAAATTGGCTCAGCGATTGAGTGAGGTGACCCTCCATGGGTGCCTTGTCACCTAGGTGTTGCCTTGTTGCCTTGACAAATGAGAAATATGTGCTTAACAAATCACTGCAGTAAATGTGTGGTTGATTCTCTTAGTGTATGACAATTTATAAAACATCACTTTGTTACTAAGTAGCCATGCTTATATCCTCTATTGACCCAAAGATTGATGCTAGAGAAAGCCCTTGAATGGTCTTGAAAGTGGTCATTCAACATTTTGTGGCATTCAGACAAAATGTTTTTGCTGCTTTGCCATAGGTCAACATCCATTTATCAGCTGAGAGCGATTTAATAATTTTATCCATCAAAACATCTCTGCTTTGTTACAAAATGTTTTCGCTGCTTTTCCATAGGTCAACACCCATTTATCACCTGAGAGCGATTTAATAATTTTATCCATCAAAACATCTCTKCTTTGTTACAAAACGTTTTCGCTGCTTTTCCATAGGTCAACACCCATTTATCACCTGAGAGCGATTTAATAATTTTATCCATCAAAGCATCTCTTCTTTGTTATTGTGGTTATTTCTATTGTTAATGTTATATCATCCATTTTCTGCTAACCAGCATTACTTTGATTTTCTTTTTCTTGTTTAGTAAGCATTGTATTTGTGTTAATAATCATGAAACTACTGATTTGATTTGTTTTTGTAATTTAGTTCTGGATTTCACAATGAGGCTTTTGGAAACGGGAGCTCAGGATGATGCTGTGTTAGCTCTAGTTGTTTTTTGCCTTCAGTATGTTTTTGTTAATCATGAGTACTGGAAATACAAGTTGAAGCATTTTCGTTGGAAAGTGACAATCAAGGTATTTATTTTTGTTCATTTTCTGGTGCCTTTTCCACTTCTTGTTGAAATAAAGATTTCTATCTTGGTTTTGGTTCACCATGTGTACCCTGTTTTTGTTGATTATAAAATTTATTGTTGAAACATTGTATGTTTGCATTAGCATGTGATTGTTCTTCTACAGTTTGGAATATAGTTGCTTGCGCATTTACCATATGCTGGATGAGTTCAGTTGTTGGAATTTCCATTTTGTGTTGGCTGCAATAAATGTTTATTTGGAAAAGCCTGTTTTGGGATGCAAAACCACTGGCTGCAACAAGATGGTGTATGCACAATTTTGGGGATTGATGATGAAACCATAACAAAACTATTTGGTTTACAAACAATTAAAGGAGATGGAAGATAATTTCATTTGCATGCACAGGTTTGCAGAAAAGAACAACTGTTGTAGAGATGGATACATTTTATCTAATTTGGCATGTAAATCATGTTGGCTTGTTACATGTGTGACTTTTTCATATCATTCTTGCTCCCTTTGTTATTGTGATCTCCATTTATCGTTGTTTCTTGGTCATGTGTGATGGGTGGCAATTATCTGTGTATCACATGCAACGACTTAGAAGTTCAAGCGTGGAGATGCTTAAACGAATCAGTTGAGTGAGTTCAATACATTTATAAGTAGAATTATTTGAACCATTCATTTATTGGGAGGTGGGAATGGAGTAACAGATTTATTGGATGGAACTTGTGAAAATTATCTTGGTCTTTTTTGAAACTTGTGAAAATTATCTTAGGTCCTGTTAGGGAAAGTCGAGCTTAAGCCTTTTACAGGAGGCTGCTAATTTTCTATGTCAAAGCTTTCCCGTGAAGCCCAAGAGAGTGGACAGATCTATTCATAGTAGCTTCCTTGATCATCAAGCCAAAGAAGAAATTGTCTTTAATGTTCTTTTGGTGAAAATAGTTCTCTTGACTAAAGCCTAATATGGCTTTCTTGACCATCAAGCCAAAGAATAAATTGTCAAACTATTTGTGCAGATGCAGAAATTTAAGCTGCTGATTTGTTCTAACCTTACCATTCCTTTTCTGTTATTTTAGGTACTTGAAGTTATGAAGAAATGCATTACATCAATTCCCCACTTACAGAAGCTGGGCCATGTTATCAGAAATATCTTACTTTCTGATTCCTCCATTCATAACACACTTTTCCGGATTATGTGTATAACTACTCATACAGTGGAGGTCAGTCATACTAAATTGTCTACATTTCATATTTGATATATGTGTCTTTTGAATTTTCCTGTATTGAAAGTCAACAAAATTTGACAGAGACTGTATATCATCCGTCTTTATGAACTGAAGGAGATTGAAGGTTTACAGCTTGCAGTATGTTCTGTTTTAGATATTGTGTCAACCATGCTCAACGACCTTTCCAAGGTGTGTTGCAACTGCAAAAGTTTTCATTGTCTTAGCTCAGCTTTCTGCAAGTTGGAAGGATTTTGATTTTGATTTTTTTTATAATTATTTTGATTTAGATTTAGTGTTAGGTTCTTAAATGTGCTAAAACTATATCATTTTATTAATTGTTTACCAATATGCTTCATGATTGCACTTCATCATCAAGTTTCATTATATTGAATTTCACATAATTGTGATGATTCACTCGTGAAAATTATTCTTTCACCAATTGTTCAAGTATATATTCATTTAAGCAGGTTTATATGTTTCCTGAATGCAGTTATCTACTACTTTATTCAGTTTTTTCATTACTCTCTGGTAGGGCAACACTACTAAAAGTTTTCAATGAAGCTAAACATTATTTACATTGGTTCTTTTTATTAAGTCTTCGATTTTGTTCAATGTTTACATTACCTAAGGCTGTATTGTACGTGCTCATGATCAAATGATTTCCCCAAATATTTTACATGTCAATTTTGTGATAGTTCTTTTCTTTTCTTTTTTTTTTTTTTGGTAACAATTTGATCCATCTATGAAAATGCGTTCAGGATATTTCATTCAGTTTGCCAGTCTTTCACCAAGCAATTTTGTCATCTGTGACCAAGCCAATTCCTGTTGTGAAAGCAGTGATATCTTTGATATCCTTCTTCAGGGATCAGGTAATGACTATTTCCTCATCTGGAAGCTGCTAAATTTACAGATTGATGGTCTCTGTTTCATTTAGTTTTATACTCCACCCCACAAAGAACATCCACCTTGGAAAACCTAGATTTAAAGGAAACAACCATAATTTCTCTGCCTCCACTTTGTTTGACTTTTATTTCCAGCACTACCCTCTAATTGGTGCTGCTAGAATGTTGGGGAATATTTCCATCCCACCATGACAAGGAGTAATGTGGCGAAGTGAGGTAGTTCATCGTTACAATGTGTTCATTTGGTGCTATGTTTTTAACTTTTTATAAGTTTTTTAGTCTACTAGAAAACAAAACTTTTTCTTATTAGCGTTAAAAGACACTAAAGCTTAAACAGTTAAAACTCTATTTCTTGCATATAGTCAGAAATAACTTGGAAAAAATTATATTTACTTTATCAGGTCTAGAGTTGGGCCCAATTCCCACCGGGTCCCTTTTTTTAATTTTTGATGGATAATATAATTTTTTTAGTTTTTACAGTGTTATCAGGCTTGTATTTAATGAAATAAATAAAGGGCAAACAGTCTCTATCGAGAGAGAGCCAACTGCCGCCCCTATATGTTATATAAACGCGGAGGCGTGACGCGAGGTGTTCCACTACCTAGAGGCATGAGGCGTAGTTCAGAATGCAAGAGGCATAAGCCTCCTTAAGAGGGGGGAGGGGGTTAGGAGGAGGATGAAGAGTAAGGGGGGATATCATTTTTTTCTTTATTTTTAATAAAAATCTTTTATATTAAGAAGAATAAAGATGCATAGCATTAGTTGAAAGGGGGGGTCTTGTTGATCTTCAGACTTCACATATGGGGTAATAATTTCCCCACTAACCACCTCTCTTACAAAGTGACAATCCACCTCTATGTGTTTAGTTCTCTCATGATACACTAGATTAAATGATATATGAATGGCTGCCTTGTTGTCACAAAATAGTTTAATGGGAGTTGTGACTGATATTCCCATTTCCTGTAACAGTTGTTTCAACCACACCAACTCACATGTAGTGTGGGCCATGGCTTTGTACTCAGCCTCAACACTACTCTTAGCCACCACATTCTACTTCCAGCTTTTCCAAGTAATCAAATTCCTGGCCAAAATCATGCAGTAACCAGTTGTTGATTTCTTGTCAGTAACTGATCCTACCCAATCAACATCTGTGTATCCTTCTAAGGAAAGTTCTCTCCCTTTCTTATACAACAACCCTTTACCTGGAGCACCCTTCAAATAGCGTAGAACTCTTAACAATACCTTCCCAATGGGTTGTCCTTGGGTTCTGCATGAATTGGTTCAATAATCCAACACTGAAAGAAATGTTTGGTCTTGTGATGGTTAAATATATCAGTTTTCCAACTACTCTCCTGTACCATCCAAGATTGGCTAGGGGTTCCCCCTCACTATCGAACATCTTCACATTCAGATCTATAAGGGTATCTAGTATCCATTGGTTTTGCCTCTAGAAGACCAGTCTCTTCCAACAAGTCAAGCACATACTTTCTTTGTGAGAGAGAGATTCCCCACTTTGACCTTGCTACTTCTTTGCCCAGAAAATATTTCAAGTGCCCCAAGTCCTAAGTCTGGAATTGGCTTTGTAAGAACTGTTTAAGCCATGGTTTTTGAACCACCATCAACCTAGATGGTCAAACCGTTCGGCCTTGGAACTGTCCAAGCAATTGGTTCCGTTTTACCCCAAACTCGGTCGGTCAATGACCCGCTACCCTAGGCAGTTGAGTCGTTGACCTGTTCAATGGTTTTTGGTTGTTTTTTACTTTAATTTTTATTTTATTTTTGTTAGAACGAGTTGTCCGTTAAAACCAAATGGTCGAACCATCAACCCAAAAACCAGTGGCCAAAACGCTTCCGGTTCCAAGTTGTTTTTTTAAAACATTGGTATGAGCTTTTCAGTGCCATGCTCATCACTTCCTGTGATAATAATTCAGTGTTCAGAGGTTGCATCTCTACTGAACACTGAATGATCAACCCTACATTGTGTCATCCCAAACTGCTGAACCACACTACTGAATCTCCCAAACTAGGTCCTCAGAGATTGCTTCAACCAAGTGTTTTAAAAGCACAAGACGAGGCACGCGCCTTTTTGAAGCAAGGCGCAAAAATACAAAAAAAAATCTAAAAAAAGTCAGAAATTTCAAAAAAAAACCCAAAAAATGCAAAAAATAGAAAATATTAAATATAGTGTTAATAAGAAATATAAAGTTAAGTTTGAAAATTAATGGTTTAAAAAACCTATTATCTAAAATTAAAATGCATAAGCATAACATGTAAAGCATATTCAAATGAAAATTTAAAAATAAAATCAAGCATACAAAACATTTTCAAGATTGTAAAGCCCACAATCTCTTTTTTGCCTCAATTGCGTTACTTCAAGTAACTAATGTGATGTAAAACAAATTACATTCTTGATTCTACGAGTCACCTTTGTGCCACACCCCTCGAGGCAAGCCCAAAAAATAATGATTTTATAATTTTAATTGCCTTTTAAGAAGATATTTTAGTAAGATGAATGAATGAACACCATTAGCCAGGCTCAAGGTGCACCAGGCGCACGCTTAGGCGCACCAAGTGTGCCCCTTTTGAAAGTGTTGCACCTTGGACCTGGTCGAAGTGCTTACCCTAAAATGCGCCTCAGGCTTTTAAATCATTGCTTCAACCAATAAATTGCTTTCTTCAATCGACACACCTTTCCTTCCTCCCCTTGAGCAACAGACCCTGGAGGTTGTTCCATATACACCTCTTATAGGTCATCATGGAGAAATCCTTTTTTAATATCCAACTAAAACAATGGCCAGTCAAAGTGTGTAGCTGGAGAAATAAGTACACGAACCAAACCCATTTTAGCCATAGGTGAAAAAGTATCAGTGTAATCAACTCCATAGGTCTATATACCCTCTGGCTACTAAGCTGCTTTATATCACTTCACACTACTATCTGCAAGATACTTAACAGTGTAAACCCACCGACAACCAATTGCTTTCTTCCCTGTAGGAAGAGAAGTAAGGTCCCAAGTATATGATTAGATTGAAGAGCATGAAATACACTTACCTCTGTGAAGCACAATGGGAAGGCCTAAATGAGACGGATTCATTGACGGAGAAGTCGATGATGGCTGCTAAGGTGGAGATGAAGAAGGCTAAAACACAATAATACCAAAAGGGTCGTGAGCATACACTCGATGGATCAGTGGTCACATTGACTCTTGAACAATAGGGGAGCAGTCGTAGACACCTCCACTAGTAAGGGAAGAGGAGGTGGATATAAGGGATCAAGAGAAGTAGGCTTTGCTAATGAGAAGAAAGGAACAATTTTAAAGGTCACATTAAGAAGAACAAAGAGCGATGGAGAGGACTGTAACACTTATACCCTTTTTGGTTCCAACATGGTTTCAAATGTCGCGAAATGTCGCTAATGTCGCCCGACATATGTTTCAAACCCGGACCCAGGCAATGAACAAAACAAACACAACCAATGACACGCAGAGGTAAAGGGAATGGAGATTGAGATGGAAAGACAATAGAAAAGAGAGAGGAACCACGTAACACTGAAGATGGCATATGATTAATGAGAAAGCAAGAAGTAAAAATAACATCACTCCAATATTTTTTTGGAATTGGCATTTGAATGAAAAGTGCTTGAGCGGTGTCAAGTAAATGTGTATTCTTCCGCTTAGCTATTCCATTTTTTTTTTTTTTGATCAGTTAGCTATTCCATTTTGTTGTGGAGTAAAGGAGCTGGACGATTGATGTATTATGCCATGAGATTCAAAGAACATACAAATGAGCATTGGAAAATATTCTTTTGCATTGTTAGATCGAAAATATTTAATGGGGGTACCAAATTGATTCTTAATTTCAGCATAAAAGGAGAGAAGATATCAAACCCTTTAGTATGAGATTTCATTAAATAAATCCAAGTCATCCTTGAAAAATCAGCAACAAAGGTAATAAAATATTTAAAACCATTGTAAGACTCAGTTGGACAAGGACCCCAAACATTTGAATGAACATGTTCAAAAGGCTCGAGACTGGAAGAGAGGGATGACCATGGTAGGTTCCCTTGGAACAAAGGAGACACGATGATGATTACTAAGCTGACAATCTTTACATTTTAACTCATGAACAGACACAACATCTGGAACAAGACTCTTGAGAGCTGGAAGAGAGGGATGACCCATCCGACAGTGCCACTTTAATGGTATAATGGACGAATGAAGAGTTGTCAGTGATGCACCACCATCTAGATAATACAATCCTCCAGTTTTATGCCCGCCACTAATCGTCTTCCTTGTCAACTTACTAACAAACACAAGACTAAAGGGAAATTTAGGAACATAGAGAACCAACAACAAAGTGAAATCAAAATGTAAAGTAACGTCATTGGTACTAGAAACAAGAGAGGTAGTACCATCTGCCAGGGTAACCGATTGGGTGGTAGAGGGAGGGGATAAAGATGCAAATAAGTCTAAGGACCTTGTCATGTGATCTGAGGCCCTGAAATCAATAATCCATGGTTTAGAAGAGGAAACAAGATATGTTGTGCTTGACTTTGCAAGAGTTGCAGTATTACTGGAAGAAGAAGAAGGCAAACGAAGTTTTTCACTCTTCTCAGGTGATAGAAGCCATTTTCTTCTCCTTCCCAGTACCTAAAGCAATAGTCATCACTTGTAGGACTACTATGTCCTTTTACAACAACATGATTGGTCCAAGTAGATGGTGAGCCATGCGGATCATAACAGAAGTTCACAGTGTGTCCTTCCCATCCACAATAGCTACATTCTTTGATCATTCCTCGACCACCAACATTGACACCAGGACCTCTAAACCTCCCCTCTCTACCACCACTGTGACCTATTCTCACACCACGGTTACCCCCTTTGGGATAGCTGCTTCTACCATGTGAGCCACCTCTACCACCTCTGGTTCTGGTTAGGGCAGACTTCTCTAATACTGGAGAACATCTGTATGTGGACTGCTACCTAAAATCTTGGCATGCATCGGTTCAAATTCAGACCTCAATCCAGAAAGAAAACGTGCCACATCCAACTGATCTCTCTGTTGTTTCTGCACTTTGTGATCAATCAAAAGGGGCTGGTACTGATCCAACTAATTGAGCAGGCTCTTCAAGCAAGCATAGTACTCTTCCACACTCCTATCACCTTGCTGTAGTTGAAAATATTCCTGATACAATCAATAGATTCAAGTTATGTTGTCTTGTCCTGAATACAATCGCTTAGCATGTTTCCAAATTTCTTTTGCAGTATAAAAGAACATCAGGTTCACACTGATATGAGGTTCCATATTGTTCCAAAGATGCATCATAATCTGCACATTCTCTTGGGCTCAGTCATTATACCCTGCAGCCCCTGGGTCTGGTTTATTCTCTTTAATATATTTTAACTTTCCTTTGGCTGTCAAATTTACCTCAACAGGTTGTACCATCAAACTTGTTTTGGTTTCACTGCCAAAATCTGCCATCGGTTATTTCTGCAACACTCTCCCAAGACGAACACCTTCCAGACTCAACAACAACACTGAACCGACTTAACTACAGGTGCAGAAACTTCAACAACATAGCCGCAACCCCTAAACCCAGAACATCAGCACAAGAAACTTCTTCTACAAGTCAACAGACCTCATGGTTCACAGAAAACAACCCACCAAGCACAAACAATGATCAACCGATCTGCACATTCACAGTCCTTCGAACTGCCAAATAGAGGGAGTCTAAAACACCATCAAACAAACAACCAATGATGCAACTTGAGGCATGGAAGCCTCCTAACCTTCTGGGCGATCAGTCCTTTTAGGCTCCTCCCCATCCTTTCTTCTCTTATAGTAGAAAACCTCAGTTGATTTAGTACTAGGCATCCTTCACTGATGCAGTCAGGAAACTTGATCAACCAGGCTCTGATACCATGCTATCAGGCCTGTATTTAATTAAATAAAGGGGAATTTTCTTAAACTACCCTTGTGGTTTAGCTAATTGACAAACTCACCCTTACTATTTACATATTGTCTTAAAGTACCCCTTTTGTTTCTAATAATTGTCTAAAACCTTCCTTTCTGTTAACTTTCCGTCACACTACATTCACATGTGACATCACGTGACTGGTAATTTTTTAAATTCCTAAAATATCCTTCCTGTGAACTGTTCATCGTCCTCAACCTTGAGATGAAGAGCATAATGGTGGTGACAAGAACCCCTTCTCCTTCTGGTTCCTCTCTATCCTCTCACTGTCTCCATCTTTCCCTTTCTCGGAAGTACAGGAATGGGAGTTTAAATACATTTATCCAAATAAATGATTTCCCATAAAAATGAAGTGATCTCAAACTTCCTTGCTTCTCCTTTAAACTCATCGGCTTTGGCTTGGGACTTTGGTCTTCGAAGAGGGTTAAGGGATGAGGAAGCCAATTGTTTGTCTAACTTGCTTCGCTTCCTTGATATAGTGTGGTTGGATCCCTCGTTGCTAGATAAAAGAATCTGGACCCCTAACCCCAAAGGGTTCTTTTCTTGTGGTTCCTTTTTTAAGTCACTTTGGAATACCTCTCAACAGGCCTTCCCTTCTAAATAAGTCTAGTTTAGGTCGGTCTCCCTTAAGGTAATGGCTTTTTGTTGGGAAGTGTGCCATGGAAAAGTTAACACCTTGGATAACTTACAAAAGAGAAGACCCTTTCTCTGTATCTCTCCAAAATGGTGCACTCTTTGCAGATTTCATGTTGAGGACTGTTATCATTTATTTCTTTCTTGTGATGTCACTGCAGAGCTTTGGGTTTGGCTTTTCTCCTTATTTGGGAGCAGGTGGGAGATGCCATCAGAAGTAAATTTGTTGTTCAACCTGTCTACCTTCTCATGGCCCCAGAAAAGAAGAAGAAGTATGTGGAGGTGTGCAAGAGCAGCTTTGATTTGGACAGTTTGGGAAGAAAGGAATAATAGAATATTCCACGAGAAGGAAAGGAGCAACCATGCCTTGGAGGATGGAGGAATTGGACAGCAATAGCAAGCTGTTCATCCTTAAGGGATAGGGTTTTCACAAACTGGGCCCCCCTCCACAAGGTTTTTTGAAACTAAACTTTGTGGGGAGCAGCCGGGGCAACCCATGGCCCTCTGGTTTGGGAGGTGTTCTGAGAAATGAGAATGGAAAGGTCATTCTTCTCTACTCTAGCCCTTTGGGAGTTGGGAATTCTATTGTAGTAGAATTGTTAGCTGCCATACAAGGAGTTCGTCTTGCAAAAGATTTGGGAGTGGAGTAGTTGCTGATTGAAGGAGATTCTAAGATAGTAGTGGGTAAGGGTGTCAATGGACCGGTTTTGGATTGGACCTCGTCCAATCCAAAATCGATTTGGACGGACCAACAAGACATTGGATTGGACCAATCCGGTCCAAAATATTTATTAGATTGGATTGGACCTGGTCCATCCGTAACAAATTTATATTGGATTGGATTGGATTAAGCCAATATCTGATCCATTGATATGAGATAAGAATATATGTGTCAATGGACCGGGTTTGGGTTGAAATCAATCTAAATCAAAATGAATTTGAACAGATTGGACGGTCCGGTCATTGAATTGGACCGGTCCAAATTGGTCCAAAACATTCATTGGATTGGATTGGACCTGGTCCATTTATAATAGACTCACATTGGACTGGATCGGATTGGACCAAATCCATTCCAATTGACACCCCTAGTAGTGGGGTGGGTAAATAGTTCAAAGGAGGTCACTTGGATCTACAAGAACGAGCTCAAGAGAATGCCCTTACGGATACTTTGGCAAAACATGGGACAGCTAGGGATACACTGTTTTGGGCTAAATAGTAATCTTATAGTAGCAAGTATGTGTTCATTGTTTTAGCTTTTTTGGTTCATTTTTGTGGGTTCCATGTCTTGGATAGGCGTTAACTCATGCCTCCCCAAGGGTCTATAATCTCCTCTTGATTTTAATGAAATGTGATTTTATTATTTATCAAAAAAAAAAAAGATTTCCTAGAAAACAAAAATGAATGGACCTGTTTGAAACGTGGGGAGTCTGCTCTCATCTCATTAGAGGCCCTCAACCCTTGATCCATGTCGTAGAGGGAATCAATCAAAGCTTTCTTAAAGTTAAAAATCTCATTGTCGTTGGGATCCTCTAGTTTATTGGCTACTGTAGTTGCAGCTGCTAGTGCTTAGTCTGGTCCATCCAATTGTCTGTTACGACCGTCAAGTGGAGGGGTGACAACAATGAGAATGAGGGAAAGGGTTGATTGATTTCGGAGATTATGGACTCCACTCCAGATGCTATGCCACTTAATGGAGATCCAAAGACCTGACCTTGTAACTAATCACCCCTTTGACGAAAATCACCGAGGAGCTTTCATACCCACGCAATGGAGAGAAGATCAGCGACAATGTCTTCCATGGATATCACTTGATGCTGACGGACGTTGAGGATCAACTAGTTTATATTCAATCTCTTGTTCAATGGAAGACATCGATGGATATTCATCAGATATCAACTAGTTTATATTCAATCCTGGTTCAATGGAAGACATTGTCAGTGATCCTTGTTGGATATCACTTGGTTACAATGAAGTGATATCACTTAGTGATCTTCAAGCTCTTTGGTTCCGATAGATGTTGAGGATCAACTGGGCTTGAGTTGAGAGAGAGAGACACCGCCTACGATGCCTGTGCCACTGTTGGCTTCGAGGTTCAGGCCAGATTTGTTTCCATCGATGGCAATAAAACCCATTCCGTTGCTTCTATTTCACAGTTTCAAATGGCAAGCACCGGCGAGGGTTAACACCCGACCCCAAGGCAGCAATTTCAGCGCATTCCTTTGCAGACGAGGCCTATGAGACGGCAGTATTTGGCTCAGGTGGTTGTCAAGACTTGAAAATGGTTTTTATTTAGACTGTCAGATTCTCTCTCTCTACCTTTCTGGTGTTTCAAATTTTTCATCAGTTGGGTTTTATTTTGAAAATTTGAGGAATTATGGAGGGAAAATTCAACATTTTATTTCTTTTGTAGCACTTAAAGACGGTGTCAATTTTCAGAAACAGTAGGGGTACTTTAAGACAATATGTAAACAGTAAGGGTAGAGTTAGTCAATTAGCTAAACCATAAGGATGGTTTAAGAAATTTGCCCTTAAATAAATAAAGGAAAGCCTCCTAGTATGATTCTAGAAGGAGAAGTAATAGAGAAGAAGAAGAATAGATGGAGACAAAGAGAATAGGGCAAACAGTCTCTATCGAGAGAGGGCCAACTGCCGCCCCTATATGTTATATTCATAATGAAATGAAAAATTACAGTAATACCCCTGACACTATAATATGAGAACAAAGATAAAACAGAATAAGGAGAGGAGAAAAGACCAAAATAACCCTATGAAGACACTATATTTTAACATACAGAACAAATAATTACAAATGGTATACATTGAATGCTCTGCATTCTTTTAGTGAGGGAAGCCCCTGCCCTCTCATCTTACATCAGTTCCCTAGTGCAAAATACCCCATTATTGCTTTGCCCTATTTACCCCTTGTCTTGCCATGATGTCTGCCACCATATTTGTAATGCCACTACTGCCATGTCCCTTGCATTTTTCTGTTGCAGTCATTTTATGAGGTCTTAAACCTGTGGTCCAGAGATGGACCAGTTTATGGTCAGGTCCTGTGTTTCCCAACCCATTCCCTGATAATTGGGTGGCTTGCATATTGGGCACCACCTTGGTATTTGGGTACCCGTTGCATCCCCCAAGGGTCACCCCATTTCCAGTATCTGTGTCTCCACATCTGTGTATAGGCATATTAACTTCCAGGTCGAGTTCATTTGATTCTGTTTTGCTAATTTATTACCTTATAAGGTTAAAATGTTGAGTGTTATATTGGATGTTTATTTGTTGTATTTGTAGGCCATACAAGTAGGTGCTGCAAGGGTTCTTTCTATGTTATGCACCATTGCAGATAATGCACAACCATATTTGTTTGGGAACATATGCCTTGCTTCAGATGATATGCAGGTACTGAATCTCAATTTCTTTGAGCTTATCCCTTGACCTCGTAACAAGATTTTAAAATTGGCCTGGTCAAAATTTTCACCTCTTTTTTTTTAATTTTTCCACAACTATATTCTCTTCAGATCATGGATCTAAGGTATTCTATCTCTGACATACTATGTGAGGGAACACCAAGGAATGAAGATCTGTTTGTTGCTATACTTAAACTGCTCACTTCTGCAGCAACATTTCAGGTTTGTTTCTTTATATTACAAACACAATTTAATGTTCTTTAATCATGTCAATCTGTCACTAGATTGGTATGCTAGCACTGTCAGATGATGAAATTGCAAGATTTGCCTGCTTGAAGTTAATTCCTTGCTTTAAAAATCACAAGGTTCATTATTCATCATCTTTCTGAAGGATTAGATTAGACTTTGGAAATCTTTGCATGGTTAAATTTGGTCCTTATGCACTCCAATCTGTTACCTCTAGAAGTTTTGCAGGATAAAATGTCAGCGGAGTTGACAACAATTGTTTATATTTGGAAACTATCTTTTTTTACTTTTTTTGGAGAAGGGTAACCATTTATGTTTCATTTTTTTTTATCAATAACCACTTATATTTCATTGAAAAGGAGCAACATGAGTAGACTATGACTGTACAGGGAGGCATCCCTGTTGTAAAAAAAATGACTACTTTTTCCTTATGGTTGATTTGTCATTTTAATGGACCTCATATCGCAGCCTGCATTCCTTGTTTCTGTGATTGCCACTAAAGAGAATATGGAGGACCAACTGAGTTTGTCTGGAGATTTGAAACGGCAAGCAAAGGAAGCTTCTTTTGGGTCATTACGACCTAGCAAAGCAAGTATCATAGATGCACTTTTCCAACATGTCAAAAAAACTGATGTTCTTATTGAGAGGTGTGTTGTCTGGATAGGATGGTATTCATTCAGTTCACTATTTAATTCAATAATTAAATCCTTAATTATTTCGACATGTTTATTATTAATTTACTTCGTTAACAAACTTCTTTTTTCCATAATTGAAACTTCATGACGTGGTTTAATTGATTTTCATTCTTATTTTATAATTTTGTTGTTGAAACAATATTCTATATAATTTGTGAAATTTCTATATTTCCAGCCATCCCTATTTACTGTTGCATGTGCTGAAGTTTCTGAAAGCATTGTGGCAAGGAGCCACTCAATATGTGCAAATCCTAGAGTTGTTCAAGACATCTGATAACTTCTGGAAATTGTTGTCATCATCCATTTCAGCAGTTGCTACCACAAGTACTCCCCTTGAAGATTTGTCTGGAGTTGCAAATCTAAGCTTGGCATACAAGTATGAATGCCATTCTGTAGCACTGGATATTATTGCGCATGAAATGTATTTGCAGGAAAAACTACAACAAGCGGAAGTGTCTGCAAAACAGTCTTCTGAACCCTCTAAAGAAAGAATAGAAAACACAGTTAGTAAAGAAAAATCTGGATCTGCTAGTCTCACTGATCTTATGGATATTTTGTCTACCTGGTGCAAAAGCCCAGTTCTGGGCAACTTGATAAAGTTATATGCAACTTCTGGATTTCACAGCAAAGTATTTCTCCATTCAAAGGTAAAGCTTTTTTCTTTCTCAGCTTTCATAGTTCATGTTTTTTCTGTATGACAGAGGTAGCCATTTATTGGTACATTTGTTTTATTGTGTTTCAAAGTTGGGTTGCATTTGGATCATGGTTCACAATATCAGCAATCTTTGGCAAAATTTCCCTGAAATATCCCCATTTTGCTAGATGGTTTCCAAGAATCTTTTTTTTTTCCTAATAAATCCGATATTTTGCCAACATGTCAGCAATATTTACAGATTTCATTGATGGACTATATATTTAAGGTTTAAAACTTTAGAATATTATAAAATACTTTTGAATTTTGATATTTTGTTAAACTCATCATAATTTTTTAAAAATCTTTTCCTTAAAGAACCAATGGGGGATTGGTGATTGAATGATTGGCTTACTATTTTCATATGATTCACTTACTAAGTCACTATAATTCGATAGGAAAAGAGAATTGCATATAATTAAAGAAGGGAATTCTCAACCTAATCAAAATGTATAATAATAAAAAAGACAAAAGTCAAAATGGCCAGTGACATAATGAAGAGAAGATGGCTAAAAGATGAAAAGGGAGACAAAGAGAAAGCTACACATCAAAGTCTCTTAATTTTCTCCTATTTGATTTATGCATTTATTTGCAATGGTGTTTTTGAGCCTTAAATGTGCAATTATGCTTCTTCTAACAATTCCTTGAAGGTTTTCTCTAACTAATTCCATGTTTCTTGAAAACTTTCCCTATTTTTTGGGTTTTTGAAATATCCTAGAGAAATTAGCAAAATATCTCTGAAATTTCTCTTTTCTCCACATGGTAAAATGCCCATCTTTATCAAAGCCCAAAAGACCAAATTCCTAATTTTAGGCTTTGTGCTTCGGGACTTTAAAGTGTTTTGGGTTCAGATTGTAATGTTTTTAAAGCAACTTTACCAAACACTTAAAACAGTTGTTTGCTCAATTTTGTTTTTCACAGTCCAAAACTCAGAAGCAAAAGCTTATCCAAATAGTCTTTTTTTTTCTATCAATAACAGAAGCATTTCATTAAATAATAAAAATAATTACAAAGGTGGGGGGAGATAAATTATCTCGACTCCCCCAGAAAGGAAACGGAAAATTACAGCACGGCCCAGAACAGCTGATCCCTTCCCACCACCCCTTGTTTAGCTAGTGTATCTGCGAATGAATTAGCACACCTCTTGACCCACTGAAGCCTCACTTCCATACCCTGAGTCAGCCATTTAAAGAGTCTTCTTTCATTAAGATGAGCCCACATACCCTCATCCTCCTTCCCTAACCATCCTATCACCACTTTTAAGCCTCCTTCGATGATCAATCTGTTAATACTTAATTCCTTAGCCCTTCTTGCACCCTCTACCACAGCCATAACCTCAGCCCATAGTGAGTCCCCACAGTCATAACCTCTGTCCTGAAAACTCCACCAATCCCTGATGACCCAGGGTTTTACCCTCACTTCTGCCATCAAAATTCAACTTAATGAAACCTTAATGTGGCGGGTTCCAAGAAGAAATATGGACATTTCTACTTGGGGCTGAATCTTCCAGTGACTTTCAATTATTCAGCAAAACCACTGTAGGAATATCATCAAAAATATCCACTGATCTTATCCATTGTAGGAATATCAAACAGAGTTCTACTTCTGAGTCTTCTGACAAACTTTGTGATTCTAAGAATCATTTTTTTTAAGTTGAAATGAAAATTGTTGGTGCTTATTTTTCTGGGTTGAAAAGTCATACGGAGAATTGATTTTTAGGTCGAATATTAATTAAATTTTGCTTAAGATTGTTTATGGCATGTATCAGCATCTTCCTTTTCTTGTAATGTTCTTGTGTGGTTTCTGCTTCAGGCCTATATTGGTTGTGCCCTTATATCCAATTAGATTTCATATGTATGATCTTAACATTTTTTAACTCCATGAAATGGCATTATATTAGAACATGCCAACCAATTGTGTTCAGATGTTTCTCACCTTTCTCTGATAAAGTGATAATCTTAGTAGCATAGATAATACTCTGCTTCTGTTTTGCAATTGTTTCATGTATGTTCAGATGTTTTCTCATTAGAAAATACCCACCCCATTGAGAAAAAAATGCACAATTTCTCTGATCCTTGGTGATGGGGACTTACAGTTCAATAATAAAAAACACTTCATGTGCAATGTCTCAGACCTTTCAGATATTTATCACTATGTAATTGTAGCACTGGTCCTTTCTTTTATGCATTAGCAGGTCAATATTAAGAGTTGTGGTGGTTGGCTGGGGAAGTGTAATTATTTTCCCATTTATGATCTATAAATATAATGAACTAATTTGACATTTTTTTGGTCAATAACTCTGAAAAGATTTCATTAATTAGAAAACTTTAGGATACAACAAGAAGTTGTGAAATAAGCCAGCTATAGTAAGCTGACCCAGAACAGAATTACAAATGTGCCCAAAACATATGCGTTCTTTGAACCCCTTGCTTTGCTAAGCTATCTGCCAAACTGTTGGCAGATCTCCTAACCCATCCCACCTGGATTGACATGTTCCTTGGCATCCATTTAAGTCTTTGGAATTCATTCTTCAACTGCCATGTCACCCCTTCCCCTTTCTGCAACCATTTTATTACAGTTTTTGAGTTTCCCTCGATGATCAATCTATTAATACCCAACTCTTTAGCCTTCTCAACCCCAGATGCTGCAACTAGAAACTCTGCCCTTGCCACATCACCCTTCTCCACAGGACCGGAGTACAGAGCAATAATGTTTCCATTTTCATCTCTAATACCCCTCCCCCCCAATGCCTGAAGGGCCATCCAAGTTCAGCTTCTTCCAGCCATCTGTTGGAGGAGACCATGCCTCAAAAAACTGGTCTCGTAGATGAGGAGGCAGCAATAAGTCCCCAAACCCTAAAAAAGTCTTCGACCTTAAAAGCTGAAAACAACTTCAAGCTTTTTATCCAATATGCCACCCTCAATGTTATTGTTTTGACTAATGCTTCCTTACATTTTTCTTTTCCTTCAAATATCCGTGCATTTCTTTCCTCCCAAAATCTGATTTTACTACCAGAAGACAAGTCATACCTGATATGATTTAGGAAGGTTGGGAGAACACCATGGATGGCCTTCCAAGGAGCAGCCAAGGTAGCCCTACGGAGACATCCAGCATCCAATCCGTTCTCGACATGCCATGAGTTCTTGCAACAACTTTGTGCCATAATTTCTCATTTTCATTTGGAAACCTCCAAAGCCATTTGCAAAGCAGAGCCTGATTTTTAGCCTAACATTACCAATTCCCAAATCCCCTTCCACCTTCAATTTCATCACCTTTTCCTATCTAACCAAATGATCCTTCTTTTTTTCCCTGGCTCCCAAAGAAAATCCCTCATGATTTTTTCAATTTTCCTCACTATCACCTGTGGCATCCTAGACATTGACATGTAGTACACTGGAAGATTTGGTAAGGTAGACTTGATTAGAGTTATTCTCCCCCCCCCCCCAATGAGATATAGTTCCTTTTTCCACCCCGCCAAGCATTTCTTGATCCTTTCCACCACTGGGGACCAAAAACTAGCAGATCTAGGGTTGTCTCCTAGGGGTAAGCCCAAGTATTTCAATGGCCACTCTCCTTTCTCACAACTTAGGGAATCTACCAAAAACCTCACTTCATGCTCTTCAATGTTGGTTCCAACCAATAAGCTCTTTGACCAATTAATCCTCAAGTTAGACATCATCTCAAAGAGTTTCACAACTAGCCTCAGATTTTCCACTCCCTCCTTACTTTCTCCATCACAAAAAATGAGAATATCATCTACAAACTACGAGTGACCAAAACATTATCCCTCCCAATTGACCAACCCCAAAATAACTGCAAACAATTTGCTCTCGAAATCAATTTACTTAGGGCTTCAACAATCAAAGTAAATAGAAAGGGAGAAAGGGGGGTCACCTTGCTTAAGCCCACGGAATCCCTCAAAGAAATCATACATTGTCCCATTAACTATTATTGAATAGTGACTAGTTTGTCAACACCCTTAATCCATTTACACCACAAATTTCCAAAGCCACACCTCATAATATCAATCAAGAAGTTCAATCCACCAAATCATAGGCTTTTTCCAAATCCAGTTTGATAGCCACTCCTTTCCTCTTTAATCTCTTTTGAGCCTCTACACATTCATTGGCAATTAAGATTTGATCAATAATCTGTCTATCCTGTATAAAGGCCCCTTGAGATTGAGAAACAAGTGGGGGGATCACCTTCTTAATCCTTAGAGACAACACCTTTGCTATCACCTTGTAAATATTGGTGACTACACTTATTGGTCTGAAATCCCCTGGCTGGTTGGCATTTTTCTTCTTTGGGATCAATGCTAAAAATGTAGAGTTCATACCCGGACTTATCACCCCTCTTCTATAGAACTCATTGAACACTCTAAGAAAATCTCCTTTAATTATGTCCCAACAGTCTTGATAGAATGCCATTGTGAAATCATCGGGTCCTGGTGCTTTTGATTTGTTCATAGAAAAGACTACTTCCTTAATCTCTCCCTCTTCAAACCTTTTTTCCAAAACTTGGACTTGAGTCTCCCCCAATGTCTCCCAATCAATGCCTTCAATCCTCCACCTCTCAACTAGGGGTCTTCTGTAAAAAGACCTAAAATGCTCTGAGAATGCTTTAGCAATCTCACCTTGGTCCATGGTCTTATTTTCCCCCACCAATAAAGAAGTAATCATGCTCTTTCTTCTCCTTTCATTTGCAATGGCATGGAAAAATTTGTATTTCCATAACCTTCTCTGATCCATCTCTCTCTTGATTTTTGCTTCCAGCATATTTCCTCCCTCAATAGTCTCCCCTAGCTCTTTCTTCAAGTACCATCTCAACTCCATTTCAACTTTGCCTAAAGTTCCATCTACCTCTTTGCTATCAATTGCTTCAATCTGATAAATTAAATCAGCTTCCTTCTCCTCCAATCTTCCAAACTTCTCCCTATTCCACTCCTTGATCTCCTTTTTCAACAATTGGAGTTTCTTTAGCAACTTTTGGCCTTCCCACATTGGAGACTGATCCAAGTTATTCCACCAAACCTTGACTTTCTCTTTAAAATCCGGGTGAGTGAGCCACATATTTTCAAATCTAAATGGAGTTGGGCCACCATCACTGATTCTCTCATACAAACAGATGGGCCAATGGTCTGAGGTGATTCTAGGTAGATTTCTCCCGACTAACCCTGGCCAGTGCTCTTCCCAATTAGGTGAAAGTAAAAACCTATCAAGCTTGGATAGAATAGGGATTGTTTGAATGTTTGACCAAGTATAGCAAGATTGCCCCAGGGGAATATCTCTCAGCTCAAAAGCTTCAATAAAGGAATTGAACTTTCTCATACTCGATGTAGTTCTTTGCCTACCCCCAGTTGTCTCACTCACAAATCTTACCACATTGAAATCTCCCCCTAGACACCAAGGTCCTCCCCAAAGTCCCCTAATATCCCCTAGATCCCCCCATATATTATTCCTTTCTCTATGGGTTTGCCCCATAGGCATTCATGAGAACCCATCCAAATCCGCCCTGCACCCCTTCAACTTAATAGAAACTGAGAATCTGCCCACTAATTCTTACAGACATTGAACTGCTTCTTCTCTCCACATTGTTACAATGCCCCCCCGATGCACCCCAAGAGGGAGCATAGCTCCAATTAATATTTCTCTATTCCCACATGCTCCTTATCCACTTCTTGTCTCCTTATCTACATGACCTAATTTGACATACCAGCAACACATTCTTCATGTGCTTTATTTGAGTAGAACTTTGGATATGTGTCTTTAAATGCGATGTACACCTGCTTTTGCTTGAACTGGTAAACTTTTTTCTTAAGGTTGTCCAGTATCCTTGACATTCATAGCTGGTGAAAATAATATTTCCAAGTCTTGGAATAAAAACCAAGCTAATGAATTTTTCAATTGTTAAATTTCTGGTGTAATTTCATCATATGCAAATAAAGTTAAGTATTTTTCTTTTGAATATCTATGCAGATTGCTTCAAGCTTGTTCATTGTGCATGTAATGGGGAAATTAACAACTGGTAATTCTGGGAGTTTGTCATTGTCATTAACTGAGAAGATACGGAATATGTATAAACAGGTTGGTTTCTGTCCTTCACATGGTTGGACATGCCAATTTTTTTTTCTGGAAACTGTTCTACACATTATGTGAATAATTTACCCATTCTTGGATCCCTCAAAATCCTGAATATTTGGGGGGGGTTTGACAACATGGTTTTGATTTTGAAAACAAGAGCAACTGCTATGACAGCAAAAACAATATAAATTTGCTGACATAGCAGTTTTTGTTTTCAAAAACAAAACCAACCTTGTTGTCAGACACCCCCCTTAATTGACCAGTAATCTTTAATTTTTTTCCATTTCTTAGTTCTTCACTTTGTTTTTAATTTCTCCTTTTTACAGTTGAAGGAACAATCTGCATTTTCCGAACTGTTAGCTCAGTATTCAGTTCGAGGTTACAGGTATAGTGCCAAGAAAATGTGTTTTCAATATGAAGTTTTTTTAAATCCAAGTAGAATAAGCACATTCAACTATGCTTTCTGCCATCTCTTCGTCTTTTTAAATTGGCTGCTTTCCTTTTTATGTTTGAGCAGTGGAAAGAGTGAAGTGGAAAGAAGACAAAGAATTTCATTCGGATGGTATCCCGGGATTTGAGATATATTGGTTAATAATTTTTTGATCTTAACTAAATAAGTAATCATGACTGAAAAAAAAATTAGAAAGCTTCATTTTTTATATATTTTGCTTAATCTATGGTACCATTGTACAATCATCAGCTATGTGCATTTATATGGATTTTATACTAGGCATTTTGGAACAACAATGGAATGATTTCTACTCCACTCAATTGGTGTGGTAACAACCAATTTTCTGATAGCCAAGGAAACTGGGGATGGGAGTTGGCAACTCATCATGTGGTCTTTATGAAAGAAATCTTCCTGGAAAAAACAAGACTTCCAACTCTTCTTGAGTTCAATTCATCTTCCTCTTCTATCCCATTTTCATTTTTGTATGCTAATCCTTTATTTTCCATTTTGCAGAGTTTTTTTGTCTTAATCGAAGTGTTTGGACTTATGTATAAATTGCAGTACCATTACAAATGGGCAGTCCAGTTGTTTCTTGTTTCCTTTTCCATAATTAGAAAATTTTATTTCATATATAGGGATTTACAAAAAAGGGCATTAGCTTCATAGTGTACCCCCATGAGTTATTATTAGGCTAGGTGGCAAAGTTACAGTGTGTGCCTTGTAATTTTATTAATATTGGTGCATCATATTAGTATGTGTGTTGAAAGATACTATCATATGCTATATGTATTACTGATTTATTTCACATTGTATTTGGTTTCTGAGAAAATTATTGAAATTGGAAAAGCTATGGGAAAGTCCTTAGTGGTTTCATTAAATGTCATATTGACTTTCCCAATATCAAAATTTTCTTACAAACTAAATGCAGAGTATGGTTTCATTAAATGTCATATTGCTATATGTATTACTGATGCAAATTTTGCATCATTTCCTCCTACCTTTTCTCTCTCATATAAAGTGGGGACCACGCCAATTTGCTCCCTACCTTACTCTGCCCAAACAAGTAGCCTTCCTCCTGCCTCATTTCTCTTTCATATAAATTAGGGACACACCATTATACTTTCACAAAAAAGGTCAAATCTGAAGCAAAAGTAAACCAGGATTTGCATTCAATCCATTTACATGCCTATGCAATTTACACCATTGCAAATGAAATTCCTACAACCAAATGGACGCTGGGTGAATAATGGGTTCTAGTGTAGTTGGTCAGTTTATGTTCTATACCATTTTCAGTATGTTTTGTACAAGTGCTGTCCATCTCCATGGGTTTTGCCTGGGTAGGGAAGTCATGAGGAGAGTTCAACAAAGGCTACTTTTCCTTGTCCAAGGCAACCACCATTATCAAGTATGATTTGTAGAAAGAATAAAAGAGGATTTCGTGTTTGTTCTACACTCCATGAACCTTAGATCCAGAGGAGAGGTAATGAGTTTTGTTAATGCCAGCTCTAGCCATTACCAGAGATGTAGGCGTCTCAGGTACCCCAACCTCCTCAGAGAATGATTTGAATGTGCTTGTGTTTAGATTGTTATTTTAAGTTGTACTAACCTGGTACTTGAAACAACAAAAATAGTGTATTCCCATACTATGACTTGAGAGGCTCTGAAAGAGGAGCATTGGAGGTTGACTAATCAAGGAGAGGCAGTTCTTGCACCTGTGCCTTTCTGTACAATACATTGGGCCAGACACTCCTCCAGAGCCTACCTCTTCTTTAATTAGCCTATGATTTACTTTCCAAAGTGGTGACATTCTATTCCCTTGCTTGTTTAGTTTGGCATGAGCTCTCAATCAAGTGGAAGCAGAAAGTTCAGATGCCCTGGCCCTTCACTTGTTCCGTATCATTCCCCCTACTTTTGCTGCTTTGAAGCCTCCATTTTCACTAATTGCTAGGTAGGGAGATGGTTATGCACTGGGTAGCGCAGTGCATCTGTTTCAGGTAGTGTCCACCCAAACCAGCAGAGCAGAGACAGACTGGCCATAGGTTTGAACCCTTCCACCTTGATTATTTATCATCCTGTGGTTACTGGATGATGGGAAAACAGAACATTTGAAATGGGCACAAAATTTCAATAAATGAATTGTCTCATTATTCATTGTTTCTGTCTCTTTTAATAGCATTTGCTTGCCAAAACAGAAACCCACCAGGCACCTGCATTTGATGCAGCATCTGCATTTTGCTGCATTTCTTTCATTTTTTTTCTTGGTAGTTAATTCTTTTCAACAGAAGTTTTCTTTCTTCCATACTGTCCTTTGATCATCCTTTTTGTGATTGCAGTGAAGGAAAGGAGCTCGAGACTTTAATACTCAGTGACCTCTACTACCATCTAGAAGGAGAGCTGGAAGGCCGTACTATGAGTCCTGGACCTTTCAAAGATCTCTCTCAGTATCTAATTGAGTCAAATCTCTTGCAAATTAATGAGCAAATGGACAGGGGGGATTTCTACTCGGCTTCCAATTGTGCCTTCCTGTATGACCTTGTGCTTTTACAAGTTGATATGGGATTGGAATTTTGGGATCATTCAGAATGGAAGGCATCAAAACCAATTGCTGAAAGGATGTTGAGTTACATGCAGAATGCAAACTCGATGGCGTTTCTTGCAAATTCCAAGCTTTCTGCGTTAAAGGCATTGACAGCCATGTTATGTGTGTATGAAGAAAATGTGAGTTATCTGCCTGTGGAAACAAAAGGTTTTCACATCAAGTCTATTCATTTCATGGAAAATCAGTGGAAAATGATGTGTTTTCTGTTAAAGAGGAAAAAATATAAGTGAAATATTTCATATAAAAATATTTTTCCTATTTTGCTGTGATATAAAGGAGTTACTCTAATTTTCTCTTGTATCAAATGCTCATCTTTTTTTCTGGGAAATTTTACAATATTTCTTTATACACTGCATATATTGCGGCAGAGCTTGTGTTTTCCAGCTTGAGCTGGCAAGAGCAAAAACATTAACAGTTTTTCCCTTTGTTTTGTTCCTATGCATTACTAATTGAACATTTCTGTCCATGCAGTCTACTGAGGTAAAGAGAAAGCATATTGATAGAGGAATCTCTGAGCAACTCTGTGAGTCATGTATTAATCACATATGCAATGATTTGCAAAGAACAGTTAAGGCAATAGATCTATCTTCAGATGTTTCTGAGGATATCCTTAATTTTGTCTCAGCACAAACTGAACTACTATTACATCTCATGAGATCTTTATTTAGAAAGCTTTCCCCAACAGTCAACAGACAAATGTATGTATCTATCTGTAAACTTGTCTCGAAGACTTCAGGAACTGTCCTTAGAGTATTGAGTGATCTCCGGACATCAAGTACTGTGGTTAAGGGAGCAATGAAACTCGTCCTTATGTTGCTTCTCACATCAATTAAGTCAAGCTACTCTAATTCATGTGTCAGGGAAAAGTTGGATACAGGATCTATTGAAGCTTTTACTGAAGTTTCTCTTGTGAGTCTTGGACTGTTACCCATTCTTTGTAACTTTATTGAAACGGTGGAGTATTGCACCCTCACTATTGCAACAATTGACCTAATGCTGAATAGTTTCCTGACTTCTGATACTTGGTTACCGATCATACAAAAGCATCTCCGGTTACAGTTTCTTGTTCAGAAGCTCCAAGAAAGGGATTCTTTTGCTTCCATTCCCATAATTTTGAAATTCCTTTTGACCCTTGCTCAAGTGAGAGGAGGTGCTGAGATGCTTCAAAATGCCAATGTTTTCTCATCTCTGAAAGCGTTATTTGCTCTCTTATTGGATGGGAATCATATATTAAATATTCAAGGCAACAATGGTTTTGCTACATCACTTGACAAAGATGAAAAACCTCAATATATATGGGGGCTTGGCTTGGCTGTGGTTACAGCAATGATTAATTCTTTAGGGGACAGTTCTTCTTGTGATGATATGATGGATGGTTTGATTTCTTACTTCTTCTGTGAGCAATTTCATTTGGTTTCTTATTATCTTAATGCACCTGACTTCTCATCCGATGGTCATGACAAGAAAAGGGCAAGGACCCAGAAAACACAAACTTCTCTAGCTGCTCTAAAAGAGACAGAACATACTCTGATGCTTATCTGTATGCTTGCAAAACATAGAAACTGGGTTAAGGCCATGAAAGAAATGGATTCACAACTAAGGGAGAGATGTATTCATCTTTTGGCCTTTATTAGCAAAGGAGCTCAGCGCCTTGGAGAACATTCAAGTAGGACATCACCTCTTATGTGCCCCCCAATCCTTAAAGAGGAGGTTGAATCTAACAAAAAGCCATCATTTCTTGAAAGCAGAAGCGGATGGTTTGGTCTTTCCCTTCTTGGTTGTGCAACTAAAACTGAGGTTTCTGATGCTGTTGCAATACAAATATATAAAATTGCTTTTCTGCTTCTGGAATTTCTTTGTCTCCAAGTTGAAGGAGCAGCTAAGAGGGCCGAGGAAGTGGGGTACATTGATCTTGCACATTTCCCTGAGCTTCCTATGCCTGAGATTCTGCATGGTTTACAGGTATGATGATTAACGGCATGTCTCTCACTTTTATATGATAAACAATAGGATGTCAATGGTTTGAATCTAAAAATAACCCCAGCAAAGTATTAAAAGCAGATAATAAGCTTTGCAATTTCTCTATGGGATGGATATCTGGCCTCTTGATATCTGGAACATCATACCTTGTTTAGAAAATTAGGTAGACTAGTGAGTTACATGCTCATTCCTGGGGTAGTAAAAGAAAACAAAATCAGATTATATTGGAAATATAGCTTCTTTTGTTTAAAGTAAGGAAATGCAGCTTTTCTGCAACATCTTATATGATTATGGGTTTGTGGGTTTTTAGGATCAGGTTGTTGCTATCGTTACTGAACTCTGTGAAGCCCACAAGTCCAAGCCAATTCAGCCGGAAATCCAGGGCGTGTGTTTCTTGATGCTGCAAATAATGGAAAAGGCATTGTACTTGGAATTTGGTGTCTCACAAACTTGTGGTATTAGACCAGTGCTGGGTCGTGTTGAAGACTTCTCAAGGGGAATCAAACTTCTGATGCAAGGTACTAAACCTTCTACCAGAATGCATCCTTCTGCATAATCATTTGCTTGGCTTGTTGATATTTTTTGTACGTATTACTGTGTTTTGACTCTAACTCTGCTGTCTTTGATTTTTGTAGCGGCAGAAACAAACTCGTTTTTGAAAACATCAATCAAGGACTTGAAACAGATAATATCACTCATGTATCCTGGTGTAGTGCAAGCCGAGGGTTTCTTGTAACTGCATTCTTAATACATTGTGTAAAAGGTGTTAGCTTCACTTGATATTATTTGCTTCCAATTTCTTGTGTGGGATTTTCTTCCCCCCTACCCCCACCAAAAAAATTAAAAAAGAAAAGAACAGAAAGAAAAAGATAGCAACAGGTCTGAATTGCCATATGATGCACGTCTGTCTCTGGAACCAAAATGAAACGACCAACCTCAATAATGTAGATGGTAAGTCCTTAAAAATGGTCTAGATGCACATAGGCGTAAGACAATGACCAGGCATGTCATTACTGTTAGGATTTACCTCTCATACTCCTGCGATCTGGTTGGATTTTGAGTTGCAAGATATTGTATAGTAGAGCATTAGCTCTCAACCTGCACTCATAACCACAATAAAAAATTGGACTGCAAAACTGCAACTTTGCGTTGAATTTAGACCTCTGTTGAACAGCACTACTAAATTTTGATTCAAGTCTAGTGGAGAATTAGCGTTCAGCCCAAAATTTAGCAGGGCTGTTCAACAGGTCATAAGTTCAACGTATAATTGCAATTTTGCAGTCCAGTTGAAATAACTTTTTGCGTGTACCACACATCAATGATGAGAGAAACTTGTGCTCAAAGTTAAAATAAGATATTGATTCTTGTGTGAGTTCTTCGTCTATTGACCATTAACATCGAAATTTCACATTATGAAGACCATGAAAGTTGTAAGCAGATGGTTCACCTGATGGGATTTATTTATTTATTTTACTATTATTTTTTTTTGGGTGGAGGGGGAGGGGGTGGGGGATTTTACTCCATAATCATAAAGAAACCTACTGTCGGTCATTTTGCAGTACACTTCGGTTGTGTTTATGGTATCATTGCTGCGGCTCCGCGCACCTGCTGACACCTTTCGAAGCACTTTCTAGTGTGAATCAAAGCACGAAAGCCGTTGTGCGGCGTTTTCTTGCTGCGTCACGAGTCTACAAGCCTTTATCATTTCAGTGCTCGCTTCAGTAGGGGCCTTTAGTATTTTGATTAGAGTAGGGGTTGTGAGAGAGTAGAGCGTACCGCCCTGCCATAGTTGCGAGTCTGTTTATAGTCGCGACTGTTGTCATAGTCAACAAGGTTGAAACTTCCAGGAAAAAACTTCGAATTGGGAGGGCGATCCTCCCGGTGAACTGACCGTACCCCAAACCGACACAGGTGAACAAGTAGAGTATACTAGGGCGCTTGAGAGAACCATGTTTTTACTAGAAATGTTTGGGATTTATCAACACAGAAATTGTCCTTGTCACTTCCACTAGAAAATGACAATTGGATTGGTGTTGACATTTATAATAGAAACATTAAATTTGGCATTTCATGAAATGGTAAGGCACCTCTATTTAATAAAAGTGGATTTTTTTTATGTAAATATTGACCTATTTTATCAAAAAATCGTATTGATAAACTAGTGTTTTCAAAACCAGACTGGACCAAATGGTCAGCCAGAAAATCAGGAACGAGTCACCTGACCAGTTCCATTTCACCCCAAAACCAATTTTTTGCCAAAAACTGTTGATTTGGTCAGTGAATCACTGACCTGGGTGGTCAAACTATTAATTCGGACAACAGTTTTTGGCTGTTCTTTGTTTTATTTTTTATTTTTTTTTCAGAACGGGCTGCCCATTCGGACTGGACAGTCAGACCATTCGACCTGGGAACCAGTCCCCAGAATGGTCCCCTCCAGTCCAGTTTTAAAAGCCTTGTGATAAATCCTAAATGTTTCTAGTAGAAGCAGCAATGATATCAAACACAACCTTTGGAATCTAGTTCAATCCCAAGTCCAAAGCTTTTGCCATCAGTTTAAAGGATTATAATAAGTTTAGCACTCGTGTCAATGATATAGTAGCTGGTATGATCATTAAGCATCCTCCAGATATGGAGGCATGGGATCAAACCCGCTCCCTGGACTCTAGTGGTATGGTCAGCAAGCCTCGTGTGCATCCTGCTCTGTTCCCACCCTAACAGACTAAACAGAAGACAGTACAACAAAGGACTAAAAAAATACAAGAAAAGAGAAGGCAATAAACTGAATGAAATCTGATGGGGACACCACAGTTATCCACATCCGGCAACTCCTGCTGCAAAGAGAATCCTATGGAAGCTAATTCATGGGCAGCTGAATTGGATTTTTACTTCACAAAGAAGAACCTTCTTACTGCTAACTAGCAACAAATTGTCCTTCACAAGGAAAAGGATTTGTCTGCTACATATCTCTTTCCTTATACTTTGAGCACCAACCAAAGGTTGATTGTCGGATTCCAAAGTAAACCTTGAGACCTCAATGGTCTGAGTTGGTTTAACCCTTCATGGATCGCAAGGGCTTCTACTCAATGTTTTTGAACCGTTGTTAACCCGGACGTATCCAGGCAACCAGTTACCTTTTACTCCAAACCCAGCCCTGATAAAAAATCATTGAATTGGTCAGCGACCTGCTGACCCGGGTAGTTGAATCATCCACCTGTTAAATGATTTTGGTTTCTTTTTATTTTTATTTTTTTTATTTTTTTGTTGGAATGGGCCATTCATTCGAACCAGATGGTTGAACCATCAATCTGGAAACTAGTGGCCAGAATGGTTCTGATTTCTTTTCGGTTTTTAAAACATTGCTTCTACCTGTGAGGGAGATATTGCCGAGGCTGATCCACATTTAGTAACCATGAACCCTACCTTTCACTCATCGAACTAAAGCTCCAGAAGATGCCATCATTGCCTCCCTGAACCTGCATCTGTGTTAATTTAAAAGGAAAAAAAAAAAACTCTGTGAAGGGGTCCAAAGAGGGAGATGTTGACCTGTAGAATCAATTTTTTTAAAACACGTCTGGCATGGCAGACCTCGGGCCATATGGAATTTTTTAATTTCATTTTATTATTTCATATATAAACTATTGTAAACACCAAAATAGGAATAAAACTATTGTATAAACAAATATAAATCATATGAAATCTAGATGTCCAAATATCAGAAGTAATTGCAATTTTAAAATTAATATTTGATAATATAGAAATTAAATTTTGTTTATATGAATAAAAAAATTTTAAAGCATCTATTCTAATAGTATTTCTAGAAACTTGTTTAATTTGTGGATTTACATATCTATGAAAAAAATTTCAAGTTTAGTATCTTCAGCTAGTAAAAATGGATGTTCAGCATGTATAATATATTTTGCTAACTCTTGCCTCATTTTTTCTTGTGAATATTTAAAAGTACCAAAAATCTCACTTCCTATGTGTGCTCAAGTGGCTAGTACCACCACTACTACTGTAGTTAAAGTCACTCTTACATATTTGACAAACGATTCTCTTTCCCTTCCCCTCAACCTCCTCTATTTTAAATATTGTCCAAACCTGACTAATCAACTAATGTTCTCTTTTTCTTTTTTTTTTCCTACCACTAGTAACAATACTAGGGGTAGGAACATCGGCAATATCAGTAGCATTCATATCAACGCTAACACTATCATATTGCGGCTGAACATCGACATCGTCAACATTGACCACATTGGGGAATTAGTGTCAAGAGCGAGAGGAGGACTTGGCCATATTTTAATTATAAAAAAAATAAAAATTAATTTAATTTCACTTATCCAGATTTCCAATTCGGAACCTCAACTTGATTTTAATGGTTGAAGCCTCCAAGTCTCTCAAATTTCTAACTTAAGATACTGGAGTAAGCTTTATTCTTGTTGAAACTTGAATCAAGTTGAGAATTGGAGATTAGAGAGTATGAGAGTATATGTGAGAGTATGGTGTATGAGAGATTGAGATTTGAGAGAGTATGAGTATGAGAATTAGGGATGGAAATTTCTACCCTACCTAGTGGGTATCCACCCCTACCCTACTTGATGGGGCAGGTTTTTTATTGAAGAATGGGTTTTGGTGCAAGGACGGGTTTTAGGATTCTACAACCCGTACGGATACGAGTAGGTACAGTATTAGGCTAAACCCGATCCTCTCTGACCCGCATATTGTTGGAAAGCATATAAACTTTATGTACCAAGTGTTGAATTTAATAATATTTTTTAATTTTATGTGAAAGATAATGAATAGTTCATGTGTTTTCTACATGTCTTGGGAAATTTTGTTATTTATTTGTGTTATTCTACTATTTATTGCTTATATATGACAAGGAATAATAGGAAATTAAATTCCAGTTCTAAATCCAAGCCGCCCTACCCTTGAATGTGGGGAGGGTTTTGCGTTTTCATGTGTGTGTAGGGTTTGGATTCTCAAAATCCAACCCGCCACGGGTTTCGGGGTGGATACGGGTTGTAAGGTTTAGGGAGGCAAGTTGGGTCTAGAATTTACAAAGCCCTCCCCAAACTTGCCCCGTTTCCATCCCTAATGAGAATTGGTGTAATGGGAATGGTGGAGGATAAGGCTATTTATAGGAATTGAAAATAATTTAATTCCCCAAAATACCCTAAACCTAGCCATTTTTTAGTTGTTGAGAGGGGTATTTTGGTCATTATAAAGTCATTTATCACTTTACCTAAATACCCCTTAAAATGATAATAATGCCCCCCAAAGCCAAAATACATAAATACCCCCATATAACTATTTACAGCTGTTGGCGTATTTCTATAAAAAAAAACCCAAAAGGTTGAAACTAGCCATTTGGGGGGGGGGGGGGGGGGGTTCCAACAACTAGTTCTTCGGGCGGGCTGTACTCGGCTCATTGCGGGCCAGGCCGTGCTAGCCCATAGCCCATGGGCTACATACAACACAACACAACAATGTGGGTCATGTTGAATCGACCTACGGACCTAAAACCCCAAGCCCGTTACAACCCATACAATCGTGTCATGCTACGGCACGACCCATGAACCATTGGGTGGACCGGCTCAAAATCGTGTAAAGTTGTTCTTGGCCGCGGGTGGCACAACACGATTGTAGTGGCATGTGGGTAGGAATTGACCCACTTGACTGGGGTCCCCACCATAGGCCCCACTAATCCTGTGTGTTTTTTGCTCAGTGTCAATGCATTCTCATTGTTGTAGCTATCCTAAAGTTTATCTTATATTATTAAATATTAATAATTATAAT